CACACATGCCAGGCAAGTGCTCTACCACTGAGCCATGACCCCATCCCTGGAGGTTATTTTCTGTTTGGTTTTGTTTATTTGTTATCTAGGTGAACGGGCTCTCGAAGCAGCATCCATACCCCAAGGATGAGGAGCTTCAAAAATAGATTCAATTCTGATTGTTCAGTGAGTCTTTGTGTTTTTTTTTTCTTTTCTTTTCTAGAACGGCTGTTGAAGCCCAGAATCACTGTGAACTTTGAGATCTCTGGGGAAGGTTCCTGTAATATATCCCTGACATGCTTTGTGGAGAAGGGAGGCATGGATGTGACCTACAGCTGGCTCTCCTGGGGGGACAGTGCTGGCTCAGCCCACGAAGGCCCCATCCTCAGAGCATCCTGGAGGCCTGGGGACAGTGCTCTTTCCTATACCTGCAGGGTCAGCAACCCCATCAGCAACATCAGCTCCCATCCTATCCCTGCTGGGTCTTTCTGTGCAGGTATAAGGACCCCAGAGACAATCCCTAAGCTCATGCAAGACCCATGCCTCCAGGCCCCATCTCTCCCCATCCTGATTCTTCTTAAGAGCACACAGATTCCAGAATCTACACCCCTCCTATTAGCAGCTTGATACCGGAACTGGGGAGTACGATGCTCCCAACTTCCAAAGATCTCTTCTCCACTTGAATTCAGATTGCTCCCCAGAGCTCAGTTCCTGAGCTTCTGTGCATGGAATATATATTTCCAGAGCTACTTGCAAAGAGACATAAACCGATTGTAAACCTGAGACCCCTTCTCGTGGAGCTTGGGGAGGCTGCCTCCTAATCTTGCTCTTCTCGCTGATGAGCCCCTTTCCCTCCCTTCTATCCATCCCAGATCCTGGCTATCCTGAGAAGTCTTCCACAGTCTTCTGCCTCCTGGCTAAGGGATTGCTGCTCCTCTTGCTCTTGGTAATTCTAGTGGTGAGCCTCTGGGTCATCCGAGTCTACAAAATGCCAAGGATGAGGTATCTCAAGAGAAACAGAATGAGACTGAGGAAAAGGGGGAAGGCTGGCCCCAGCCCAGCCTGACCTGGGTCTTGACTCTGGCTTTTCTTTCCAGCCTTGGGGATCTTCTGGCCAGGTGGGCAGAGGGGAAGCGGGGGTTCTCAGGGGTGGATACTCAAAGGACCATATTTTCCAAGAGAAGACCACCTGGCAATAAAATCAAATTAAGTACCCACTACTTCTGGGGAGCCTTGTTTGGTCCTTTTGTCCTCATTGGTTGCTCTAGCAAAAACCACTTTCTCTTTTTCTTTGCATCCTAGATCCTTCACCAAGCCCACATGCTTTTCCCCTGCCCTTGGGGACTGAGTTGAATGACCCACTCATCGTGAGGTGTTGTTTGCTTTTACTTTGCCTTCCTCATAGGGTGACCGTTCTGTTGGATTAAGAGCCGAGTTCTTGGACCACTGACTTCTATTTGTGGTTGGCACCACTCTGTCTGTTCCTTCCTTATAGATCTCCATATGTCTTCTCTATGGAGTCTTGCTTTGGGTTATTGCCTACTTTCCACCCCCTGGCAAAGAGCCTTAAGCTTATGTTCCTGCTCTTTCCCTAATTCAGTTTGAATTCTTCCCCTAAGCTTGAGTGCCACTCTTTGTCTCCATCATTCCTCAGATCAGATCTTGTGGATCCTGTCTGTGCAACTGCCAGACTTTGGTAGGAGTTGGTGAAGTTGAAAAACCAGTCCCCAAAGAGCTCCTAACATTTTTAAACAGATCCACTCTGCTGTCCAAGGGCAAGAACCCTTGTCCTTCTGGAAGACAGTCTTTGGTCTGAGGCCAGTCTTCTGTGCCTCCCTTAGGTCCTGAGCATGCTTGATTCCCCAAAGCTCTGCACCCCCAAATACTTCTGGCTCCTTTCTTATCTATCCTAGCAGATGCCATTATAGGGTTGGAGACTACCTGGAAAAAAATCACCTGGAGTCCATCAGGCACACAGAGAGCCAGCCCAATTCTCATGTATATCAGAATCTGGCACACAGAAAGTCAATAAAGGAATGAATGGTCCCTGGATGGGCTGGCCCAGGGATCTCCCTGGAGTTAGTAAAGTCTGTTCTTCTCACATCTAGTCTCTGAATGGAGAGGGATGAGACCCTCAAACTTCCCAGAACACCTGGAAAAGGAATACAGAGACATAAAAAAGATTGAATATAAGCTCAGAGAGGTCCAGGCCTCCTCCTTTGCTAGAAGCTTGGATAATTGTCACTTGATATCACTTTTTAGTTTGCAAATCTTCCTCACCATTTGAAATAGGTGAGAGCAAACTTGGGAAAGGGAGTATCTAAGCACCTCCTAAGTGTCAGGGACTTGAGTTAGCATTGGTGAGACATAATAGACTCTGTTTGCCCACAAAGAACTTGTGTAAAGATATGAGAGGTGCCAAGGGACCTGGTGAAGATGCAGAATGGTGGGAGGAGCCACCATTCTGGAGGTTAACAGGTCAACAGAATTTTTGACTTGTGATTAGCAGTGAGTCCGGGGAAGGGAGAAAAAGGTCATTTTAGCTAGAGAGAAGTGCTAAAACACTGACACATGAAAGAAGAGCACAGTGACTCTGTTGACTGCGAGGCTGCACACTCTGATAAAGGAGTAGGTGACAAACCAGGCTGGAGAGTCAGCAGGGGCTCTTTTAATAGACTCTGGGTACTTCTGGAGCTTAGAGTCTCAATGGATCAGGAGACACACATATACAAAGTTAATGACAAGTATGGGAAACCTTCTTTTCTAGTACGGTGAGAGGACCGGTGCTCATGGGCATGTGATTAACAGCATCCCATTTTTTCATATTCTTGTAAGCAAATTGAAAATATGTGGGTTGGTTGATGCTAAGATCAGGTGGAATCCTAGTAGGCTGAATAAACTTTCCCTGAGAATTATGACAATGAATCAAGCACAAGCTAGAGGAAAAACTTTATTTTTTAACTTAAGGGACTGTTTTTTTTTAAATTTATCTTTAATTTTAATTTTTTATCCACTTTCACTTCAAGGGTGGTGAGGGAACAGGGAACAAGTTATAGGGATAGGTTCCTTTTCTTACTAAAAAACTCTACAATATACATTACAATCAAATGAAAATGATGATAATAAAACTCACAAAATAAGCTCCCAGAAAAACATGAGCATCTCATAACCTTTTTAAATAATTCAAAATGTTACTTTAAAAAGTCAAGTACTGATTACTGATTTTAATGTCCAAATGAGACGAATTTATCCTCCAAAAACTACTGGAAATAGCAGAAATGAAACTCTGGGACCAGAGAAGCTGATTTAGTGTGGGGGAGCAAGATGGTTCTTGCTAGTTGGTGAGGAGCCAAGAAGGCAAAAAGCCTTCCAGTGACCATCTTTTTAACACATTTTCATTATAGTCTTACAAAATGGTAGGGAAGTCCATTACAATGTAAAGTAATGTTGCAAAGCTGCCACTTTAGGAGTCTTTGCAGAAAGGATGGAAGAGACCATGCCCAGTCTTCTTCTCCCCCAAGTACACTTCCATCTCTGTGGCAAAAAGCACCCAGACAGTTACACTTGGAAGAATGTTCCAGCAGTCAGAGCTCACTGAAGATAGAATGCATACCACAGCAATGTTGAACTTCCTGGCCCAGGATGTGAACAGATTGGGGTTGGCTGGCCACCACGAGGGATGACTGGTAGCGATTCTGTTGCAAAACAGCCTTAACAGGTCAACAGTCCAAAACAGTCCATCCTACTGGGTCTCTACTGGTCTTCCAGACATAGTTCTATGAATCAGCTATCTCAGTTTCAGTCTAGTATTTCAGACTGGGGTGAGATAAGTGTGTGTCTGAGGGTGAAGTCTCCAAAGGGGTGGGTTTAACGAAGTCCAGGTTGGGTCTGAACACAACTCTGCCTGTGTTTAGGTAAGAAGCATTTTTCTGGTTGAGTCTGTTTTCTCCTTAGTCAAGTGCTTCTATACTTACTTCACAGGGTTTCTGTGCAGATTCCGTGAGTTATAAAGTATCTAGTCCCAGGGTCTGGCACCCTACAAGGGTTCAGTAGGAGAGCCTTTATTTCATTCCTCCCTTTTCAATCTCTATTGTCAGAATGCCTGTCATTTCTTCCCCCTGGGCCTGATTCTTTGGGTCACTGGTGTTGGAAGCTGCTTGCAGAGCTGACTTGGCAACCCCAAGCTCTGAGCGCAGCCTCTCCCAGCTGCACACATGGGAGGCGCCCGGGCAACATCTGGGAGCTCGCCAGTGCAGACAGGTATTTCCAGTCTGGCAAGAGAGGAAATAGGTGGAGGTGGGGATGGGAATGGGGGAGGAAATCGGATGAGCCCGGGACTTGGGTGGATCCCCTGGGAGAAGGGCGGGCAGTCGTTCTCCCCGCCTGGTGCTCCCGCCCCCAGGCTCAGATTTCCACTTTGTTGCCTCTGTGGCTCGCGGGTTCGGAGTCGGGAGAGGGTAGAAGGTAGGTTACAAAGGAAGCTGGGCGTGCAGGGAGCCTGCAAAGGCTCAGTCTCCCCAGGGGCACCGGCCTATCCTGATTGCCCCTCTGGTTCTCTGCGGCAAGCGGCTACCCGCCTTCCCACTCTTGGTGGTAGAGAGCTCCACGAGGGGGCGACCTGAGCCCACGTGCCATTGAGTCCTTCTCTCCAGAAACTACAACTCCCAGGCGGCTCAGGGGTCCCGCCCGCCTAGCCTGGCCTCTGTTGGCTCCAATTGGCCACCGCGGGAGGGGGGGGATTGGCGGTCTCCAGGGCGACGGGAGGCGCTCCGGGCATCCGAGGCGGGGAGGCGGGTCCGCCCCCTATTGTGTGGCTGCGAGAGCGGAGCCGAGCGGTGCAGAGCAGGTGAGGGCGGGGGTGTCCTGGGGGATAGAAGTGGGGTGCCGGCGGGGGCACGGGGAACGGTGCAGAGTTAGGGGGAAGCGGGGGAGCTCTGGAGAGAAGTGGAATTCTTTGGGGGAGCAGAACTAGGGGAGTTCTGGGGAGTAAAGTGGAATTCTTGGTGCATGGGTAGGGGTTCCCCGGAACTGGTGGAGTTCTGGAGATAATGTGGGGGAGTGCTGGGTGGGTTCCAAAAGAAAAGAAGAGTTCTAGGGGGCCGGAGAATGTGAGGGATAAGGGAATTATTGAGCACGGAGTATCAGAAGTGTGTTGTGGGCTGAAGCAGGAGATTTCCAGGGAGGGGAATTCCTAGGAAAAGATAAGTGGGTGGCCGAATGGGGATTCTGGAGACCATCAGGGAGTATTTTGAATCGCAGAAGACCTCCTGCAATTGGAGATCAGGTGTGAGAAACTGGAATTTCGAGGGGACTGTGAGAAGTAGGAATGATTGGGATGGGAGTTCCTGGGAGAATGAGGGAGTACCAGGTAGAGAGACCCAGAAGGAGAGGAAATGGGGGCCAGTGGAGTTGGAAAGGTCCCAGGAAAAATGAGGAATTCTGGGGATGCCTGGTTACAAGGTTCTTGGCAAACTGTACCAGGAGAGAGCTGGGGGTTGCCATACTATACCCTCGGAAAAAAGCCTTTTCAGGGAAGTGTGGGAGAGCAGGCTAAGGGCGGTGGGAGACAGGGTAAGTGGTGTGGTGAACTGCCAGGAGCTAGACGCACATGGGCATTATGAAGACGTAAGGATGAGACTGCCATAGGAAACATTTTTTTTAGAACCAGCATGGAACTGTGAGGCCAAGAGTGGGGTGGAGGCCCTGGAGCAGAGTCCACTTGGATTTGTCAGGCCTCCAGCAGGGCCCCTGGCCCACTGTGACTGTCCTAAGATGGTCAAGAGTTCCTACTCATTTTGTGTATCCTAGGGACTAAGGCATTTTTGGCTTCTTGTGGATCATGCCCCCAAGAGTTTGGGAAGGGAGTACCTGGCAGACCCTGGCACCCTGAGGATACTGGAGAGGTGTGAGTGGGAGGAATCGGGGTGAGGCACTTGAAGAAGGGCTGCTTGGCAGCATCATGAAGAGCAAGTGGCGCCAGCTTCAAGCCCTGGGACCTGCCCAGACCTGGAGGATTCTGCCTGGGCCCCTAATACCAGCGGCAGCTCCTCCTCTCCCAGTGCCTGATTTACTGTCAAAGCCGTGGCTGAGTGGATAAAGATGCCATGGGGTTCCCCAGCCTCTGGGGCTCTTCGTAGAGGCTGGGAAAGGGGGACCCAGGGAGTAAGGGATTATATGGGGGTATCCTGCAGAGCACTTTCTTAGA